CTCCGCCTCCTGGGTTCAGGCAATTCTCCTGCCTCAGCCTCCTGAGTAGCTGGGATTACAGGCACGTGCCGCCATGCCCAGCTAATTTTTTGTATTTTTAGTAGAGACGGGGTTTCACCATGTTGACCAGGATGGTCTCGATCTCTTGACCTTGTGATCCACCCGCCTCGGCCTCCCAAAGTGCTGGGATTACAGGCTTGAGCCACCGTGCCCGGCCTTAAAAAAACAATTTTAAAAAAAGGTTTGAAACAGCCCAAATTTACATACAAGTTGGAAGTACAGTACAAACAATTTTTTCCCTGAACCATTTGAGGGTTATGTTGCCAACCTAATGCCCTGTCACCTTGAATTCTTGGTGTGCATTTCCTATAAACAAGGACTTTTTCCTACCTGGTTGCAATAAAACCATCAAAATAAGGAAATTAACATCGATACGAAACCTCCATCTAATCCTCAAACCCCATTCAAGTTTTCCACTTGTCCTAAGAATGTCTTTGCGGTAAGATGATCCAGTTCAGAATTGTGGGTTGCATTGGTTATCAAATCTCTTTAGTCTCCTTTAGACTTTCCTCAATAAACATTCTTTGGCATTCATGACCTTGATACTTTTGAAGATTACAGGCTGGTTGTTGTTTAGATTCTCTCTCAATTAGGGTTTGTATGATATTTTCTCATGATTAGATTTAGGTTGTATGTCTTCAGGAATGTAATAGAAATGATGCTTTGTTCTTTTCATGGCATGATTTTAATTTATCCCATTATGGATAATATTCACTTTGATCTCTCGATTAAGGTGATGTCTTCCAGGCTTCTCCATCATAAAATTACTCCTAGTTGTAATTAATAAGTATTTTGTGGGAAGATGTTTTGAAACTATGTAAATATCTTACATCAAAGTTTAATTTTATTGATTTATGTCTTTATGGACTCATGGTTTTCTATTCAGTGCATTATAATCCATTACTATCATTGTTTCTTGGCCAGTGGATGACTTTTGTATCCTTTTGGTATGTTCCCATCATTCCTTGGGTGTCTCCTTGTTTTCCAGTGCAAGATATTATGGGCTTATCTTGTATTTCTCTTGCTACATCCCTGGAATCAGCCATTTCTCCAAGGAGCTCTGTTTCTTTTAGTGGAAAATGGTATTTAGAAGGCAACTGGGTCTGGGTGCTGTGGCTCATGCCTATAATCCCAGCACTTTGGGATACCAAGTTGGGAAGAACACTTGAACCCAGGAGTTTGAGGTCAGCCTTGGCAACATAGTGAGACTCTCATCTCTACAAAAAATAAAAATGCTAGCTAGATGTGGTGGCACATGCCTGTGGTCCCAGGTTACGTGGGAGGCTGAGGTGGGAAGATTGCTTGAGCCTGGGAGGTCGAGGCTGCAGTGAGCTATGATTGAGCCACTGCACTGCAGCGTGAGCAACAGAGCAAGACCCTGTCTTAAAAAAAAACAAAAAACAAGAAGGCAGTTGAGTGTTAGGTGTGCTCATTGCCATTGTTACTGCTCCCTGGCTCTTCCTTAGAGCTAGGAAATATATATGCATATGCATGTACATTTATGTGTGTGTGTGTATCAATCAATCTGTCTATTTATCTGATATAATTCTAATAAGAAACGATGAGTTCACATTCTTCCTGCCAGTTCAGTCCAACACCACAGATTTTCTCCCTTTCCATATTTTAACTACTTTCTCTAACAGTGAGAAACCTGGGTCCCATTATCCTTAATATATGCACTTCTTCGATCAGTCCCTCTGTATGTAGCTAATTTCCCATTACTGCCACTGCCCTTTACCACTCGTGAGTGCCTCTTTTGCCCTGTCTGTGACACCCCACATCGGACTGCCACCTGACATGGATGCTCTCCACTCTCCCCTTGCTCTGACATGCTGCATCACACCTTTCCACCTCTGCATGGATGCCTTCCTCACCCTGCCTGGGCTCTGACAGTGTTCCCCAGCCCTCTCTGGCTTATCCTACTCCACATGTTACAGATATCTGCCTTCTTCTGCTGCACTTACTGCCTTTAGGATTGAGTTTTTCAGGAAGGGAAGAGGAAGAGCTGCCCTTTGTTTCTTGACTTGAACTGAACTTCATTGTTAGAAGTAAGGGAAGTGTGGAACTCAGTAACTGCTGGTATGTGGAGGCCCGACCTCCTAATGTCTACTCTCAAGACTTCCTACAAGAGAAGTTGTATTTTTGTTTTGTTTTTGAATCATGGTCTTGCTCTGTCACCCAGACTGGAGAGCAGTGGCACCATCACAGCTCACTGCAGCCTCAACCTCCTGGCTCAAGAAATCCTCCTACTTCAGCCTACCAAGTAGCTGGGACTATAGGCATGCACAACCCTGCCTGGCTAATTTTTAATTAATTAATTAATTTTTTTGAGATGGAGTCTCACTCTGTCACCAGGCTGGAGTGCAGTGGTGCGATCTCAGCTCACTGCAGCCTCCACCTCCCAGGTTTAAGTGATTCTCCTGCCTCAGCCTCCCGAGCAGCAGGGACTATAGGTGTGTGCCACCATGCCCAGTTAATTTTTGTATTTTTAGTAGAGATGGAGTTTTACCATGTTGGCCAGGATAGTCTCAATCTCTTGACCTTGTGATCCACTTGCCTCAGCACCCCAGTTTATTTTTTGTAGAAATGAGGTCTCACTATGTTGCCCAGGCTGGTTTCAAACTCCTGGACTCAAGCCGTAATTCTGCCTCACCCTCCCACAGTGCTGGGATTACAGGCCTCAGTCACTGTGCTTGGCCAAGAGAAGCTTTTGTTTTAGAGGGAACCAGGTGATAAAGCAAGGCCTACAGGCAAGAGGACCACTGACCATCGCAATAGGGTATATGTAGTGTGCTCTATTGGAGGTCTAGAGCATTTTAGGGATGCAGAAGACATCAGTATTATTCTCTGAGGCTGCCTTATGCATTAATTGGATTTGTAGGCCCAGAATCTGGGGATCAAGGCTTGGCCAGGTGGGCGTAGCCCAATAGGATAGTAATAACAGTAGGCTAATACTTATTAAGTCCTTATATGGCAGACACTGTTCTTAGTGCTTTACATGTGTTGTCTCATTTTATTCTCACTTATGGAGTAGTTGCTATTGTTATTGTTATTTTACACATGAGGAATTGAAGAACAGAGCTTGCCCAAGGTGCCATGGCTAGTAAGTGGTAAAGCCAGGATTCAAACTTGGAAGCCCTCCTTACTCACGATGCTTAATTGCTTATAGTATTTGGTATACAGGATCTGACTGACTGTATATACTATGCATATTCTATGAACATTATAGAACATTAGGATTTTCAGAAGTCTTTACGATTTTTTTATGTGGTTAGAGAAGAGTCCGACTTTGGATCCAAACTAGAATGGGTAATTTGAGCAGACTGGTGTCTCCCATCTCATCAAGTCTTCCAGTACTGTTCAGGAATAGGTGATGTGAACATTCTGGCTTTCAAAGGGATATTGGCCCTTTTGCCTTTCCAGGAGATTCCATAGTGAAACTCAAGCCAGCATTTGTCTACCCGGGCTGAGTTTTGGCTGTATTTTTGGTGAGCCTATAAAGCAATAGTGAAAACAAGTGCTGTGCTTGTGCAGGATCCATGAAAACTTAAAATATATTTTGATCTTAGCTCCGCTGAATCCCCCTGAAATCTCATTATAGAGGTGGGAAAATTGAGGACCCACACTAGCATATATCCTAGTAAATATACAGGCAAGTTACTGTAGCTCATTCAGTGAGTCAGGGGAGAGATGGGAAGACAAGCCATACTTGGCATTATCTGCTTCTGCTCAGGTAGGAGTGACCTCATTGCCCTTGAGTGTGCACTGGACTTCACAGGGTGCTAGCTCCTCTACCCCATGTGGAGGGAGCCGGGTGTCCACTTGCCGCCATTCAGAGGGAAGCCTTTGGCTCTGTTGGAATGCTGTGTCAGAAAGTACAAACCATGGACATTACTGTATTGTATGGTGAAATTTCTTATTTGAGGATTAAAGTTGAGAAAAATTTGAATATTGGGTATTAAAGAGAGAAAGACAACATTTCTGCTTTGTTCCTTTTTTTATTTTTAAGGAAGTTTGAGTTATTTGTGAGTAAAACTTAGACTTTGATTTTTATATTTAGTTAGGCATCTGAGGAGCAGGCATTCTGCAAATTTAAAGGGAAAATTTAAAGGAAAAGTGATTTGATTTTTTTTTTTGCACATGTTCACTCAGAAAACTTTACTAGACTTTTAGCCATGCTCCTATTACTGCCACATCTGGGTTTTCTTTTTCTTCCCTATTTAAAAAGTCCTGCAGTCATTCAGGGCCTGTAGTAGGGACCGAGTCTAAGGCAGCAAAAGAGAAGGCCTAAGGCTGTTGCCAGCTGTGCTCTCCAGGCATTTTTCATTCCCCCAGGGTGCCACTTACTAGTGTGGGGGTTGGGGAAGCACCGGAATGTCGGGAGCAAACTCCGCTGTGATTCACTTTGTTTGCCTTCGCCTTGGGAGAGGGGAGGAGGATATGTAGAGATGGCAAGATACAGACTGGAAAGCTGGGGCAAATGGCTCCTAGTTGATCTGAGAAGAGAGCCTTGGACATTTTCTGCTGTTTGTCTGAGTCTACTTAGCTTCCAGGACTGATGGTACAGCAGGGTCACCTCATGTTACTTTGGGACCCATAGCTTCAGTGTTAACTGTTGCCACCTGAGAAGTGACTGCACAATTTTTCTCTTTTGAACTTTAGAGCTCCATTTAAAGATGAAGGCCAGTGTTGCATGTTGTTTTGAGAATGATCTGGGAGACTCTGAGCTGTAATAATGCTGCAGGTGCTGCTATTAGGGTCTTGAACTTTAGTAAGGAGTACTGTGATTCAGAAAAGGGGCCCAGAAACACTGGGGAGAGGCTCATGTTATGTGGATATTCCTGAAGACTAGATGGAGCAGGGCCATAGTGGGAGGGAGTAACCCAGGCTCTCTGTTCTATTTTTTTTTTTTTTTTTTTTTTTAACTCTCCTCCCCTAAGTTTTAGATGCTTCTGGATGTTCAATGCTAGCACCTTTACAGACTGGAGCAGCTCGATTTTCTTCGTATTTACTTTCAAGAGCAAGAAAAGTGCTGGGCTCACACTTATTTTCTCCCTGTGGTGTTCCGGAGTTCTGCTCCATATCCACCAGAAAGCTGGCGGCCCACGGCTTTGGCGCATCCATGGCGGCAATGGTGTCCTTCCCTCCCCAGAGGTATCACTACTTTTTAGTGCTGGATTTTGAGGCCACGTGCGACAAGCCACAGATTCATCCTCAGGTAACTGTTGCATCCTTGCTTTAGAAAAGGTGGGGTGGGCAAGGAGGGAGGGAGGATAGTTTTGCTTCCTGGGACCCAAAGGAGCTTTTTCATGTCTTCCTGTCTTTTAGCTACTCATTTAGAGTTCCTGTGTAGGAAGCAGGACTTGGTTCAAGTATGCTAGTGTAAGGTAGACCTGAGAAGTCTCTGGGGAGAACTGGGTACATTGTTTCCCTTTGGTCTCAGCTTTTGGGAATCAAAATATTTCCTTCTTTCCTATCTTTCCTTTCTCTGTTCTCTTCTTTCCTCTATTCTCCTGCTACTGCCACTTGTTCCTTTAAGGAGTACTGTGATAGCCAACCTCCAAGATGATCTCAGTTATTCTTATCTCCTGGTATTCACACCCCTGGTAGTTCCCCTCCCGCACTGAATCAAAGATATCCCTGTGTAACTAATAGAAGAGGTACATGTGTGTAGGAACTGAGGCTCTTAGCTAAAATCCAGTGCCCAACTTGCCAGTCATGAGAATGAGCTATCTTAGAAGTCAATCTATAGAAGTGAATCTACTAGCCCCGGTCAGGCCTTCAGATGACTGCAGCCCCAGTGGACATGTGACCTCAACCTTAGGAGAGACTTTGGGCCAGACTAGCCAGCCGAGCCACTCTCAAATTTGTGACTCACAGGAACTGTGAGGGATAACAAATGATTATTGATGTTTTAAGCCACAAGTTTAGGGATGATTTGTTATGCAGCATTAGATAACCTGACCAAGTACCATTGTTGGTCTGTTGGAAAGGACAATTTCTTTGCTTGCTTTTTTTATTAGTCACCAGCTGTGTTCAAAGACCTTTTACCTTTTAAGGTAATGCTACTAGGAAGCTTGGATTAGCTGCAGGTAATATTGAAATATGTGGTGTTTGCTTTGAGGGAATAATGAGGGGGGGTTACTGATGTGGCAGTTGATTGTAGTATTGATACATTGAATATGCCCGGCTCTAGGATTGTAACTCTTCCCTACAGGGTTAGGTTATAGAGTGTGTGATTTTGGGATACATACACATGTATCTGGGAACAGCTTTCAATAGTAAGGAGGAGGGAAAGAAGGGGACCTCAGCATTGGGCACTTGGGAGGTAGGGAGGAGTGTGGTCCATTCAAAGATAAACAGGTTCGTTTGTTGTGGTTGATTTTTCTGTCTTTAGAATGGTAGATTATTTTACATAAGCCAAATATCACAACCTCTTTAGTTTTCCCTTTCTCCTCTCCTCTTTCCCATACTCCCTTAAAACATTGATTTGCCTTTGGGGCATTGGAATGAAGCCTACTGAGGGCTGGGAACACAGGAGCTGGATAAAGAGAATATCCTAAAGAAAGGTCCCTTGGGTGAAAGGGAATGCAGCTTGGGAGCTGCTCAAGCCACACTTACTTCCTCTGCCTCTTGCTCCTGCTTGTACTGTAGAGTCTTTTTCCCTGCCTCTCCAAACTACTGGAGTTTCTCTGGTGTGGTAGGGGTAGCTGGGTGGTGCATTGTGGGAATTTTGGTTATATAGATGGTTAGATTTGGTTATGTAGATTCCCAGCCTTCCCAGGTTGGGAATCAGGGATCCGAATCTTAATATGTCATATTTATTTCTTCTACTCGGTGGTATAAGTTTCAGTCACTGAGTAAGCCTTAGTGGGACATGAGACTGAAATCTAACACATCTCTGTCACGTATGATTCATCCCTCTTATCACTCATAATTGCTTGGCATCTCCATTATGGCATTTAGTGCTTTCTGGCATATGCTTATGTATGTGTATTTTTTTACCTTTTCAGTTAGATTATAAGCTCAGATAATTATGTAGCTCTGTTTTCTTGTCCTGCAGAGGGTCCTGCCAATATTCCTGAAGGTGAAGCCTGAATCATGTCTCAGTTTGGTCTGTCAATGTCACCTTTCATCTCTCTTTCAAGGGCATTATTTTTGCTTATTTATTTATTTATCTATCACAATGCTGAAGACATCATGCAGTACAGATTTAAACAGCTTGTGTCACCAACTTCCTTCCCAGACTTAGGCACCAAGACCTTCCAGACCCAGGCTGAGTTAGGGCTTCACATTGTTTACCAGGATCTGGGCCTGATTAAAGATTATCTTCAGAATCAATGAACCCTGATGATGTGATTCCAAGGGCACTTAAGGAATTGGCTGCCCTGGTTCATTATTAGCAAAGCATTAGCTGTTGCTTTAGAGAACTCGGGAAGAAGCATTTGCTGTCTTGCTTATCTTTAAAGGGGAATACGAATGATCTTGGAAATTATAGACCCGTTAGTTTACTGTTATTCCAGAAAAGATACTTGACCTGATCGTCAGATAATCAATCAGCAAACAGCTAGAAGAGCGTGGGGCACTGAGTAATAACTTACATGGGTTTGTGAAGAAGAGCAAATCCTGTCAGATCAATCTAACTTCTTGCTGTGACATAGTGATGGATTTGAGTGGATCTACGGCAAGTGATAAATGTAACGCATCTTGACTTCATTAAACCTCTACAATGCTGTGATCAACAGTTGGGAAGGTGAGTTTGGGGCCAGACATCTGTGTTGAACTACCCATCAGACCACCTTCAGGAAAGGGATGGCAGATTGAGACTTGTTAGTAGCAACTTAAAAATCTACTTTTTTTTATGGGAGAGCTTTTTTTAAGGTTTGCAGATAGCAGGATCCTGATGGGATTCAAAGAAAGCTAAGAAGACGGTTTGGAAAGGTTCTCAGTCCTAGATAGAATAGTATCCTTCCACTGAGATCAACATGGGTCAGGTTCTCATTAGAGCCTCTGTGCTGTTTAGGTCTGATCAACCAGGGAAGTGGAGAAATTGGAAAAGCTCAGGATAAGACCAAAAATCATTAGAGGCGCAAAAATAGAACTTAGGAAACTGAATATAGTTTTGGTGATGATTTATTGTCCAGACTAAATAAATTCATCATGTGGAGTAGGTATTCCAAGGAATATGATAACAACTTGCTCTTGATTTTAATAAGGACAAAAAAGAAAGAAGTTTAAATGGAAGCAGAAAAGGTTGAGATTTGGAATGAGAATGAACTGCCAGAAGAGACAGAAAAAGGACCGGAATAAGGTATATACCTTAGATCAGCCTTCCTTGGTGCTCTCTCAGAATAGCTTGATGACTGTCCATTTGACAGAGATTCTTTGATTCTTTATGAGTAAGATCTGCATGCCTCCTGGGAATAGGGCTGGAGACAGGGTCTTGTTCTGTTGCCCAGGCTGGAGTGCAGTGGCATGATCACGGCTCACTGCAGCCTCAACCTTGAGCCTCAACCTCCTGGGCTCAAATAACCCTCCTGTCTTAGTCTACCAAGTAGTTTGGACTATCAGTATGCTCCATCATGCCTGGTTAATTTTCTGTTTATTTTTTGTAATGTTGGGGTCTTGCTATGTCACCCAGGCAGGTTTCAAATTCCTGGGTTCAAGTGATACTTCTGCCTTGGCCCCCATAGTACTTTGATTACAGGTGTGAGCCACCACAGCCAGCAGGAACTTTTAATACTCAAGACCCTGCATTGTACACTTGTTTTTATGAGAGTGTGTCATACCGTTTGAGTGTATAAGAGGCAGAAACAGTTTTGGGCCATGACCTATTTGGAGGCTTAATGTGGGGCTCTTTTATCTGTCTTTGATTTTCAGAAGTCCCTGAGTGAGCTGAGTCAGCTTACTGGTACTATCCTAAAAGAATGCCATCATGAAAAACTAACAGGTGTAAGCTCTTTTGTACTTGGGAGAGTAATAGTATTGGTTATAAACATAGTAAAACATGGTATTTTCCATTTGTCATCAGTTTTGCTGTTTATTTTTGTACTTTGTTCAGCTAGGTGAAACTGGAGGAGTTGGCTTGCCAGTAATAGGCTTTGGTGTTCTGGTTTTTGCACTCATTTGTATTACATGTTTTGATTCAGATTAGCATGATAGGTATTGGTTGAATAGGAGACTTTTTCATTTGAAAACATTTTTTCACTTAAATGTTAATTTAGGTGGTTTAAAATGTTTTAGAGGGCGTAAATTTTAGGAATGCAGCTCCTTTCTTGTTTTAGGAATTGTTTCCTAACATAGAAGTAGATTTTTATCTGGTTTAGGAGAATTGTGCCTCCTTTGTCCTCACTAGCAGGAGTTCACGTTGCTCATTTTGGTGTGGATGTGCACCGAATGATGGTAGTTGTGACCCTGAGGCCCAGAGAGCAGCCTGAAAGCTTTGGTGGGATCTTTAATTGTGCATCTTTAACCTTGGGGCAAGTTCTCTCACCACCTCAGTGTTCAGAAGAGACCAAAGCAAATGTAAGTGAGGAAAATGAGGTATAGGCCACAGCACGTTGGGAGGAGGAGGTAACCTCAGCTGTCTGGTTGGCCAGGGAGGGAGGGGGTGGCCCAGCTCTCCCCATCTGAGGCGCTGCCATCCTGGCCGCTGCCCACATTCCTCGCCGAGTGCTCTGGCTTCTGGGTAGTCTTTTTCTCTCTGCTCTGCAGCAACCCTACTGACTGCTTGCCTTCTCATCTGTATTCAAGTGCCCATAATTTTGGAGAAAAATGACCTTTGGGGATGAGGTTTCTAGTGTTTGGTCTTTGTCCACAGAGGCATTTTTTTTTCTTTTTACAGAAACCTTGAACAGAGTCGATCTGCGTTTTGAGTTAGAACTATAAGTAAAGGAGTTTCTCGTTTCTAGAGCATTGTCCAGATGCTGGGTTATTTTTGAAGGGTAGGTGGGGAGGGTTAGTGGTGACAGAGAAGGGCTGATATAGAAGAGAGGCATTTGGAGGGTTTTAGTGTGACCTAGAGCTGCCACATTGTTACTGTTCTTTTGTGAAAGAGACATTTTAGAAAACTTTAAAGGAAATTGGTTAAGATCCGTATAAAGCAAACTATATTGATTCCTTTCTCCTTCTTCAAGGCTGAAAGGCAGGAATCCTCTTAACCTCGTGTGCAGCCTCCCCGCTCTGCCCACGCATTGTTCTTTGCACCATGTTTAGCTT